TGCACAGACAGAAAGGTGAAATAGCAGGCTATCCAAAATGAATCAATACATACTAATCAGTATGCTGGCTAAGTTCGCTGAACTTTGGACAGAAAGTCTGATTCCAACACAGCTGTCTTTCAACATATAATGATATTTATACCTGTATGAAAGACAGTAAGAATTTAAAATCCAGTGTCTGTAAACATTCAGCAAGATTAAATTTGATCAGTAACATAATGTATAGAATGGACACAGTAAATACAATTGAATAGAGTTGTTTTTTACCCTCTTTAGTTACAACAATTTGTATCTTAAAGGGAACCTGTGATGCTTTTTGCCTATTTATAAAGCCCAATTTCACAAATCACAATTTGCCTCAGAGCTCTTTACAACATACAACATCCCTCTGTCCTTGGACTCTCACAGCAGAAAAGGAAAATCTCCCCCCAAAAAAAACCTTAAATGGGAGGAAAAAATGTAGAAACCTCAGGAAGAGCAACTGAGGGGGGAATCCCTTTTCCAGGACGGACAGACAGGCAAACCATACAGTTTGAAAACGAGGCATGGCTCCAACTAGAAAACAATGTTTTGATGCATTGGATGTGCTGAATGTGCATATTAAGGCAGTACAGGAGGAGGTGCACATTAATAATCCTCCAGGACTGTAACATGCTCATGTTTAACCCAAACAATGTGTCATGTGACTGTAGTTGGTTCAGATCGAGGTCGGAACACGTTCTCACCACAAACGAACCGCACCAGAGTTTGTTTGTAACCAGACCGAGACCACCTCTTCAAGAAGGTCTAGGTCCAGTTGTTTTGGTGCGCACCTGAGTACAATTGCTGTGTTCACACCTGCCCAAATGAACCACACTTAGAAGGCAAATTAACTTGGGTTCAATTGAATTGAACCAAACAGGGCAGGTGTGAAAGCAGCCTTAAAGAGAGAGGTGCTAAAATGGGGCATTTTAGACAGAAGGTGAATACAGTTGTTCCAGTCTGGACAGTATGAGGAAAATAAGGTGGGTTTTCTTTTACCACTGCAACATGTAAACTAGTAGAAACCTTTAATACAACAATGAACCCGAAGATTAGCACAATAGGTCCCCTTAAACAACAATATATCATGGTATAAGTGAATGTATTTGTAAGATAAACTTTGTTCAGCTCAAGTAGTGTATCTATTCAGGAAACACACCGAATGAAACTGAAAACAAGACAGACACACATGGCTAGACAGCACTGTGCTTCAGTTCATCCCATACAGTAACCTGAACAGAACAGGGCAATCTGTTCTTCTGCACAAGCCACAGTGGGCGGCTCTAATGCTTTTTACTGGCAGAAAGTGATGCTCTCTGTCATGTAAGACAGTACATACATTGAGACATTGACCACCTTCTGTCCACATTACACAAGGACTGAACAATTGTTGATCTGTGATACTTGTATGAATTATAGCCCACATATTTTAGCATTTGAATATCACACTACATCATGCAGTACCAGCTGATCTCTTGGCTTTTTCAGTGTCCTGGATTTAAAAATTCCTGAGCAGCCAGTGCCAGGATACTATGGTGATTTCAGTGTTCAATAGGGCAGGCTGTGGAAAGCTGCTGACTGCAAGAGGTTAGCATAACAGATAACTCCAATAATGTGGTATGATAGGAGGGGAAGCAAAAGGCTGTGTCAGTATTGTTTTGCACGTATGATAAAATGCGCATGCTGTGCTTTATAGTTAGAGTTACAAAGTGGTTGTTCCGACTGAGCATGCACTGAGATTTCAGATAAAAGTTGTGTTTTATCTCTATAGGCTCTGTCTGTGCAGTGAGCTGCTTTAATGTGATAATGGCCTTTAGATCGGATAGTGTTACACAACAGACCCGAGGACTACAATAGAGCTATGACTGAGAGCAACAGGGGAGGACTGTTAATGGTTCTGAGTGTAGGAGTACTGATATAAAATGGCTTATCAGACAGAATGTCTGTTTACCAAACATGCCAATAAGTCTCATTGTAGAACCTTTGTTTAGGAATGCAGTGCATGCAGTATAAGACTCAGCTTCAGCAACAACAAAAAGCCCCATGGGTTTTGGCTGAGAACATACACACTGCAGGTGCACCATGCCTTAAAGAAGTGGCAACAGTTACAAGATGTGATAATTCAACCCAATCGCCAGAATAAATGTTGGCACTGCCCATTTCTGCAACCCCCAGATACCTAACATTTGTACGTTATTGTGTAACGATATGCTGAAGCTTTACCTTGTATTTTAACCAGCCTTTCCTGAATATGTTTTACTTGAATGAATGCAGAATGAGTGACAGTTGTATGTATGGTGCAACTAAAAGTCAAGAAGGTCAAGAATGTATGTAAAATATTTAAGAAAGGTAATGAAAGATGAAGACAGTACATTTTACAAATTAGTATGGGTAAATTAAATAGAATAGTGGTGCTAAATGAGTTCGTTTATCATGGTCATGGGTTTGTGTTGATATTCTGGTATCTTGTGGACTTTGTTTTGGAGTTTTCTGTTTGTGTTTTTCCTTTTTTCATGTTATTCATTTATGTTTAACCTGTTCCCTGTTTTATTTTGTAGATTCTCTCCCCCTGCCATGTCTGGCTTTACTTCCTGTCTTTGCATGGACTCCCGCCTGTTTTCCGTCACACCTGTCTTCCACCAGTCTCGTTAGTCCTTCCCTGTTCCCAGACTGTGTTCCTATTCCCATACCACCATACGATTTTATTGATATCAATGCCATTGTCGATTCTGCTTATCGATCCGATTCTTTATCGATTCCCTTATCGATTCCTCCTGTGAATTAATGATATCACCTCCTGTTGTTTGTAACCCAAGACATATGCTTTCATAACGTTTTATTATGAACCTTAAAGCCATGGTCTAGTTTAGAAAGACGATGAGAAAGATTTGAAAAAAAGCATCCCCCCCACACACACACCCCCTCCCCTCTGAGCTCGTGTCCCTCTCCCCTCGGAGCCTCCTAACGACACACCTCCTCCCGTATAGAAATGTTTAGATGCCGTCTAACCACACAAAAAACTAACGGCAGCTTTCACAGTCATAAGCCAGCATTGGCATACAGTTATCTATGTCACAACATCCACAATGAGTTGTCATTAATGTTACTCCTAGCTGGTGATATAGAGATAAATCCCGACCCACAGCCTGAATGTGTCAACACCACGCAGCTAGTGCAGCTAACTCAGGTAACAACAAATGGCGTGCAAATCAACTCAACTGCCCTCATCTTACCATCCTTGGTGTTCCCATGAAATCCGACAACAGCGTCCTGGCCACGGTCTACCTGGAGCGGGGACACGGTGAGGCTCCACAGCTGGCTAGCAGCTCCAGGGAGGCTAACAACAACAGCGTCCTGGCCACCGGTTACCTGGAGCAGGGATGCGCGAGGCTTCACAGCGGGCTAACAGCTCCAGGGAGGCTAACAACAACAGCGTCCTGGCCACCGTCTACCTGGAGCGGGGACGCGCCGAGGCTCCACAGTTGCTAGCAGCTCCAAGGAGGCTAACAACAGCGTGAAGTAAAGCCACAGCTTTGACCGCTTCTGTCTCTCCACCATTACATCTTCTTTGTTGTTGAACGTACTGCTGACTGATGAGCATAGATTTGGCGTAATGAAAAGAATTGATAAGGGAATCGTTAAGCATAAAGGCTAATGATGTCGATGAATTGAACCAGTTGTAACCGGTTCTTAATAGGAACCGGTTCTCGATTCCCATCCCTAGCAATGACGGACGACATCACATTCAAGTAACTGATGACCAGTAGAGTAGTAATTATAAGAATATTGATTAAGTAAACAACATAATCATAAATATTACAAACAACAAAAGGATATGTTCCAATCTACAATCTGTGCACTTACAACTTTAAAGTTAAACAACATACACTGCAAAGTAACAACAGCAGATCTCTCCGGGTTGATCTTCGTCTCTGGCCAACTCAGTAAGTGGTGTTTGTTTATCTCCAAGGTAATGGATATAAAAGCAAGAGGGTCAAAGTTCAGGGCGTAATATTATGAGACAGTGGTATGTCCTGATTGTGTGGAAACTGCACGCAACAATGCATACTTTTTAAGGGCAGCTGCAGTACCTGCTGCTACCCTTGTTGTTAGCCAATCCCCATGTCCCTCCTCTTGCCTGTGTTGTCCTACTCCAGCTGTGTCTCGTTCTTGTGATTAGTTTTCTTTGTATTTATACCTGTGTGTTTCCCTTTGTTCTTTGTTAGTTTGTCTGTGTTCATCAGTTTCCTGCCTGGTTTCCTGAATTCTGTTTGGATTTCTTCCCTGAGTTCATTGTGTTATCCCCGTTGGTTTTCAGATTAGTTTTGGTTCTTCTATCTTTTGGACTTGATGTTTTTATCAGCTTTATTAAAGCTCACTCTTTGTTTGAATTCTCAACCTGCCTCCTGCTCTGCATTTGGATCCTTCCTGATCTGATTTCTGACCGTATTAGTTATTATTTTTAGATAATCAAGTAATTGTTCGGTCTATAGATTAAAAAAAGACAAATGGCCATCACAAGTCATCAGACTACAGAGTGAAATCTTTTAAGGTACTTAGTTTGTTGGCTCAAAAACCACAAACCCCAAAGTTACAGATTTATTTATCATTTGACAGTGACATATGTAAGTGATAACACCCGACAAGTACTTTCCAAGATTGTAATGGATGACGCAGGGGCTAAGGTTGGCCTTGCAGCGTATTATCCCGCTTGTACTGTGGCTTCTTGCCAACAAAATGAAAATTTGATTTGATGACGTATGGTAGTCATTCATTTACTCGTAAGTCATTTTGATCTTGCCTCTCTGTTTTAAACATCATAATAAAGGTCTTGAGCCTCAGAATTCCTGATGCGTGTGTTGCTAGGCAATATCTTGCTAAACAGGAAGGGGTTTTGACACGTTGGCTCTCTGTCACCCTTTCCCTCTCACACTGATACCTTTGACTTCCTTCCTTGTTTTCTGTGTGGTTTTGTTTAGGTTTTCTCTTGCCTTCTCCCTGCAGCTTCACTTCAGAGCCCGCAGGCTGCAGCCTCATTGTTACTTCAAAGGTCTTCTCTTTCCACCTCCTACAGTGAGTTTGGTTTGTACGTCCAGATTCATGCACATATAAAAGACTTTTTTAATTAAAATTGCATGGTTTGAAATGAGAAGTTTTTATAGTTTGTGCTGATGGTGGTTACACAAACACCGACATTACAGGTTTCCAGTTTTACAGTCCAGGTACTAAAAGTAAATCCACATATTCTAACCAATCAGAACTGAGAATTTTCAGTGGCCATGGTATAAAAAGGAGATAAAGCACATGCTCACATATCATGCTATTATCTCGCAAGGCTTATTTATGTTTACCCGGGAGTTAGACCTGAATACAGTTTGTTCTTGTAGACAAGAAGTAAAACAGTTTTTAATCCCGAGTCTTGTCAGGACAACAAAAGACAGAGATCAAGTATCTTGCAGGATTGCATTTTTAGTTTTCGGGGTTCAACTCCCACTGGGGTCACTCATGCTAAAAAAGATTCTCACACATGGAACTGTAAGCCGCTTAGCATAAAAGCATCCACCAAATATCACATGTTAATGGCCTATATTACCATATTTCAGCTCCACTGAATGAGCACAGCTCCCTATGCGATTTTTCTGAATGTGGTTTTAAATTTCCTCCCTTGGTGGACGGCTACTGGGATATTTTTTGCAAAAGCTTCCTCTTGCCAAATTCTCTATTACACGGTATAATAGAAGCTGATCAGTTCACTGAATACACTGAAGCTTAATGTTGGTAGTCAAATTCCTCTCTGACATTGTGTGCATGCATTGAATTGATCCCTGACAGTACCTGATGGACATTTAGTTTGATAAAGAGCATGCAGGCAACCTTCATGTGGCAGCAGCCCCACAGGCACAGTCACTGATGCTGTTCAGTGTATGTTTTCATTCCCACTGGGCACCATTTGTAAAATGCATGCACTTATGGTGTTGTAAGTCACTTTAAATGGATGAAATGTAACACTCCTGACTTCAACAGCATCCGCAGTGGAATGTTCCAATGCTGTGGGCTGTCGCAGTCTGATAAAAAAAAAAGTTCCACTTTCCAACACTGCAGAGTGAACACTTCTCAGTTTTAACACTATATTGGATATGTCTCATGCTGTTAACTGCTGGAGCCTAATAATAGGCTTATGGCAGAGATGATGGCATACAGAGAGACAGAGTATCTATACTGTGTATGTCAGTTCTATGTCCTAAAGCCGAGAGCCAAACCACTATACCAGCCAACTAAAATGTTGTCACCATGTTTTTGAGAACCTGGATGTGGTAAACACAAGCGTCTTTTCCAATGCTAGTGCAACGGTGCAAGTCATCATCAGGTCCATAAAGGCCCTTTCCCTAATCACTCCCTAAACCACCAGCATTTCACTACGGAGTGTCTCTTCACACGAAGTCACACTTGCAGAGATGGAGGACACTCTGTATTAGGAAGAGGGTAAAAATAAACAATTCAAAAACGGGACGCACTCAACATTCTCGACTGTAAGCGAGAAACAGGTGTCAACATTGATCTAATGAACACCCTGGTCTCTCAGCCTTTTAAATATGTAATATTCCATTTCCCATACAATGTTTCATATATATGATAAATAAGATGTGCACTTTAAATTGCTAAGGAAAAGAGTTTAAGTGCGTGGGCATTCCCTGGCACGTGTGCCATTGTGTAGGGGGAGTGGAGTATGGCTAAGTTTGCACTGACTCACACTTGCAGTTAGATTTATATTTTTACTCCCCACCCCCTCTTTCGGTTTTGGATAGCCCATAATATGGAAAGCGCTCCAAAGGAAAATATATATCAGGCAGAGGGGATAGGTAGGCATGTTGTGGCCAGAATAGGATGTAGCATATTATAAAGTACTATACTAGACACTATACAGCCAGTGTAATGTATTTGACGCTGTGTGAACAAGGCCATTGGTCTGCTCCAATTTATGCCGGCCTCACACTGAAGGACTTCTCAAGCAATTTTGCTGTTGCAGACAAATGACTAATTTCAGAATAAGTTGTTTTGATAGACAGATACATCCTTTATTGTCAATGTATGTTATGCAATGATCCTTTGTCGGAGCAATCCAGTTAGTAGCATATAAATGTTTACACATGCACCAACACAAACTCACGTATTCACCAACAACACACACTTATCACATCATTCTCACGACCACATGGACACACATTCATATCTATATTTTTATAGATTATAGTTCTCGTGAGAGAAGACGGCCTGAGTGTATGTCACAAAGGTCTGGTAGGGGGGAGAGAGTTGTGGCATGCTCCCTTAATCTTGATCGTTTGGTGTGAGGTGGTCATGAATCTCAGTCTTTGCTCTCTTAGGTCAGTCTTTTTTTTGACTTGACAGTCTGATAAAATTAAACATGTTTCATATTCTTGTAAATTTTTAGTCTTGGCTCATGCAAATTCTGAAGTTCAATGATGTGAACATTGTCAACAACTAATAGGTGCACTCTCTTCTGTACGAAACAGGAAGCAGTTAATAGTTGACATGGAGGGGACTCTGTGGAGGTGCCAGAACATGAACAAGTCTGTGGAAAAGGAGGAGAAACTGGTGGAGCTGTGGGAAGAACAAAGGCCAGTGTTTAATTAGGCGTGTATCTGATCCACGGACCAGCAGTTATTTTTGTGAGAAATCTTTATTTCGAAATGGTTCACCTCTCATTCTCACAGTCTCCTCTCTAAATAATTAAAACCTAAACAGCACAGTTAACCAGTGTAGACTTGTAGTGAGTTAAATCAACAATGAACAATGTAATGTTTGTACGCGAATACAGTTTACCATTATAGGTCATATTGATGATGAATTGAGAAGAATATTATCAACATATGACACCTTTTATCTTGCGTTTTAGAGTTATGTGTTTTTGAAGACGTAAGGAATTATCAATATGTCATATTTTTAAAGGAGATTTGGTAATATTTTCCACCCGGAGCAGGACAGGAAGTAATCTCAACAGGGATCTAGCTGAAGTCCTGCAAATAGTGACCTTTCAAGTTCCCCAGTCTTTGCAAAATCTTAGAGCTTGTGACAAAAATCTCACACTGTCTTCAGGTGTGTGAAGGTGCCAGACTTTAGGTTTTTAAAGGTCTTTTCAAAGTCTTCTGCTATATGGTAGGCATTACTTTTAGCACCACCCTACTGGACAGCTCCAGTGCTGAGCAGGAGCCTCGCTGAGCATTTCAGCACCACTGCATGTGGACAGCTCTCCTAAAATGCCTTTGGTGCTTTCTGGCAAAGCTACAACAGCTGAAATGTATTATTTTCACCCAAACACAGGTTAGTGAATGTTCAAACCCTCGACCCAACTGAAAGCCAACCTTAACCTTGAATGATTGTGTTTTGGGTTTATTTATTTTTACCTTGCGGCTTGACTGCTTAGTAAAAACACTCCTCTCAGCTCAACAAGTAAAGGGAGAATCAACAAGACGATAATGTAAGAACAGTCCTGGCCAGTTTAAAGTAGGTCTTTGAGCCAGTCAAGATGTCACATACTTGTACTGCAAATGTCCACCATTACATGATTGCCATGGGGAAGTGTTCCTCTCCTCATTTGCACTTGACAGTCCGAGCCATTAGCTATACAAGGAGGCAGGGAAAAGAGGAGAGGGTGATTAGAGGGAGAGAAGGAAAGGAGGAAGAAAGGTGTGCTCCTGGATAATTACCCCTGAGAACCTCCTCTCAGCACCCTGAGTTAGTTCAATACCTAAGCCCCAGGCTAGGATCTATCTCTTCTCTCTGTCTTTCTTATGTTTTCTCAATCTTTCAATCTCTGCCTGTCAGGCCCCATCCCATCCAACCCCCCTCACCCCAGCACTCCCAGTTCTCCCCACCCTACCCTTTTTCTTTGCCTCCTGGGCTAAGGGGAATAAAGGGTATAAAGGGATTTGATTTTATGGCTCACTTCAGAAGACTTCATGTAAGTCCGGACATTTGATAGAGAGGTGAATCTGTTACTAATTAAAGACAGGGAAAATGGTGGGGAATCAGCTGTTTTCATATGTGAATTCTACACACACGTACACACTGAAAACATGCAGGTCAAAGCCGTGATCATATTTCTTATATTTGCACATCACAAACCTTTTCTCACCCCTTGGGAAATATCCCTGAACTAAACATATTTTTTAAAAGGATAAAAACCAAAAAAAAATCTCTTTGCTTTTTTCTGCTTCTTTTACCCCACCCTTTGTTCTCTCTCTGTGTGCCTGTCTCCACTTGTCTGCCCTCCTCTCCAGTCTCTCCACTCTTAGATAAGGAAAACTCTTTAAGTGTATCAATTATTCACTTAAGATGAGTTTAGATCTCGGTTGTGTTTGTGTGTGGGGAGGAAGGATAATGGTGTGCTTGTGTGGTGTGCGATCTTAATGCCACAGTTAGATTTACAATGGTTGGGGATAATGCTCTCTTTGGGAGATAGCGCCATGTTGCTTGGGTGTGTTTGGGATTAGATTGGGCCCCCTGATGCCCCAAAACACATCCTTCTCTGCCACATTAGGGCAGCCACTTGCAGGCAAAAGCTATGGGTAGGTGGACAGGTGAAGCACCTCTAATATTGCTAGACAAACACAAAATATAATTAAATAAGAAGCAGCATCCAATTATTAGGAGAACAGTGGTAATTCATTACATTCCTGGAAAGGGGGGTGATACATAGCCTGGTGGTGTTGTCTTGGTGATATTCTCTCCTGTGTGTGGCCCAGTTCTACACTATACAAGCACCAAGTCATTTTTTACCAAAAAACACTAATACCAAAGAGAGAAATGCCAAACATCTACTCAGTGTAGCTAATAGGCTTGGCAGGAATCCCAGTATTACTGTATACCAGGTTATATAGAAATACCAACAGTGTTATTTTCAACACCTTCAAAAATACAGACGCTCCTCTTTCTGTTACATTCATATGGAGGTATCAGGATGTATTATATGTAGTGCACATCACATGCCACCAGAGGTCAGTAGGGGTGGGGGGGACAAAATCGATACAGCATAGTATCGCGATATCACAAATTAAACTTTAGGGAGCCAATTAGAATAATTCAATCAATTGTGTATTCAGTTGACTAGATACATTTTGCTGCAAAAAAATAAAAAAAAATGGCTGAAGTGAGATGAACAGACTGAAAACTTTACCTTATTAGATAAAACAAATGTTCACAAGGTTTTCCTTTGTGGACATTATTTAAAGTTGAAAAAAGGTAATAAATCACAATGTATTGCAGTATATTTTATCGCAATACTCAGCATATCGCATCATATTTAAAATCACAATAATGTTGTACAGTAACCTAAGTATCGTGATGATATCGCATCGTGGATCTTCTGGTGATTCCCACCCCTAGAGGTCAGTCTCTATTGGTGGAACAGCCAGCTGAGCTGACAGACATGGCGACTGCCAAAGGTGGAGATAATGTTACGAACTGATAACAGCTAGGCAGCATTGTCAGAAAGAATCAACAGGGAAAACATTATATTTTTACATCTAACTCTGTGTAAATTAAGGATTTATTTCGACCAAACCAGAGTTGGTGATTGTATAGTAGACTAACAAACTCGATGACTAACAAGACTACCTAAGACAGTTTAGGTGAGTTTGAATGGAGTGTTTTTTTCAATAAGTTAATAAGGCAGTTAAGTCGGTGAACATTATCAGTCAACCAGGTCATGGTAATCATAAGTGCTATATCGTAGGCAACTGGACGTGCTTGCATTTCTTGAAGACGTTTCACCTCTCATCCAAGAAGCTTCTTCAGTTCTAAAAGACTGGTAGGAAGTTGCAGGCTTTAAACCCTGTGTGGGTGTGAACCCTTGCAGAGTCGTAGGGGTCACATGTGAGCTCTTAGTTTCAGAGTCGTTAAGGTCACAATTTGAGTCGTGACTCACATGAGCTCACATGTGACCCCTACGACTCTGCAAGGATTCACACCCACACAGGGTTTAAAGCCTGCAACTTCCTACCAGTCATTTGGAACTGAAGAAGATGAGAGCCGAAGCGTCTTCAAGAAACGCAAGCAAGTCCAGTTGCCTACGATATAGCACTTACGACAAGGCAATTAAGCTAACGTTAGTTTTAGTTCAGTGAAAAAGAGAAACTTGAATTCAGAAGGTGTCCGTTGTAATTCTCTGTTTAATTAAGAAATGAAGTGTAAAATATTACCTTTTGTTAACATTTTGTGAGTTAATGTTGTTTATTTATTAGACTGAAAAAGCTAAGAGCTTGCAGAAGGTAGCAAACTCTGCAGTCGAGCTAGTAGTGGAGATGGTAGTTAGCAGTGCACAGATACTGTCACAGTCCGTATATCATGATGCAATTTCAGGAAGGTATGACAAAAATGGATAATCCCCAAGCCCACTTACTAAGTATTGTTTGTATTAACACACAAAATAGAAAAGGGATAGTAATATTCGCAAACCATTATGTTCCATTGTTTAAATTGGAAGTGTCGACACGTCATCCATTGAGCGTTAAAACAAATTAACAACAAAAACTTGGGTTTTGTTCATTCATTCAATTTCCATATTGGCTTGGAAGCTGGACTACCATGCAAACTCTACACAGAAGGGCTCCCCCACCCCGAGGTTCGATCCCCCCAGCCTGGGTTTGAACCGGGAACCCTCTTGCTGTGAGGTGACAGTGCTAACCACTGCGCCGCTGTTCATTGTTTATAAAAACACAGATACGAGTGCTGATTGTTGTTTGTCTTATGTGTTAGAATAAATCATCTCTGTGGGTTGTTAGTGGCCATTTGAAAGTGTATGATGGTACTCAGGCTTAATAATTGCTGTCTGGTCTTTTGTTTGCTGCCACGTCCAAGCTAGCACACATATATGTACACACAAACAACCACACACACATACAAGCTCATCATTGGCAGGCTTTGCTTCTGACACAGTAATGTTGGTCTTTGCTGCCCTGTCATTTAATGGCTTCAGTGGCACATGGAAAGACAGGCATAGTTTTTTATACATTGTGCAAAATATCTGACAATAACACACACACACACATCCATGTCAACATGAATATACAGATGCAGACCTCCGTCTACGTTTACCCCCCTCAAGACAGACAATGTCCTTGAGAGCTAGTGACAGCAGTAGGCATGCATACTAACAAGCCACCCAGCTCACACCTGAATTACTCGTCTCTCTTTGAGGCGTGTTTGCATGTCTGTCTGCTCCTCCTCACTTGTGTTTGTGTGTGTGTGTGTGTGTGTGTGTGTGTGTGTGTGTGTGTGGCTTTTCAGGTTTGTAAGCTCGTTGCAAGGCTTTTACGTATATCCTCTATAGCACCCAGATAAAATCTCACTTACACCGACACGTCCCTGAACACTTCCAAGGTGACTCCTCTCGACCAGATTACACACATACAGGGCAGCAGCTGTTTAAGAAAGCAGGCGCTTACAATTAGATGTTTTTTGTGTCATTCATATTGCATTCAATGGATAATAAAGTATGTGGTCAATCAAATTAGTGTACATGAGCTTTATACAGTTATGCTGTAATTGCAAGTTTTTAGCATCCTAAAAAAGCTTCCTAACTTAGTATAACATGCTACTCCTGTGACATATGAAATCTAA